ATTAAGAAGTACATTGGGGTTCTTTGCCGCATTTACAACCTAAGACGTATACATACACCTTTGAAATTATTAAATCCATCTAGAGGCTAGCGCATGTACACAGAGGTCACAAGAATTAAGCTATGGATACCCCCCCGTTCTATATGTTTAGTAGACTTTTATTTTGATTTCTCTGCGTTTTCGTAATATTAATTATATAGTACATATCTGCATAAATTTCATTTGGGAAGGAGGAGAATACAGGGTAACTAAAATTAAAGTTCTATTTAAACCAAAAATTTCACACTATGAGTACACGTTGAGGTTTCAAATAAATTTAAAAAGTTATGTGCGCTGTCTGTTTACTGATTGTTCTTGTAACATTTTTAGATTCGTCCCTTAATGCATAAAAAAGAATTAAATATTGTTAATAAAAAGAAAATAAATAAGAACTTATTATCAAGAAGAATTAACATTTAGCAAAAATCAATACTGAAATTTTTGAATATTTTTTATACATTTAACAAAAATTCCTGTTTAGAATAAATTATGTAAAGAGCGACTTAGGTGTTAAGAAACCTACCGTCAGAATAATAGCTAAATCTTGAGTAATGTTGCTACGGGTTCGTAATAAATTGAATGCACAAGCCCGATGAAAAGTAAATAAAATTGATTCTTATCTCAACAAATTTAAACTACTAAAACGTCCAACAGAACTTAATTCAAAGCAGAGAAAGCTAATCCGATTCCACCTCGAATTCGCTGCAATCATTAACAGCAATAAGTAAACAACTGAACTGAGATGTTTTCCTCCAGCTTTTTATATGCTTTTTAAATGCACAAAAAATTCTCACATTTTCTCGATTTTTCTGGATATTAAAAGAATACAATTACGAGATATCTATTATTAAAATGCTAGACGCGCTTGCTCCTGTATTTAATTTTTGCGGAGTAACTTTCTCTTCAAATAAGTCTCGTGCTGTATTTCACGGAATATAAAACAATTTTAATTACAAATTCTACTAAAAATAACTAAACTAAATAACTACAAAAACCGTAACAGTATGTATGTTAGATAGAAAAACGTTGGATGTATGAACCATCTTGAAGGTGAATGTCTTTAAGCTCGCTTCAAATTTTCACAAAGGAAGATGAAATGCAATATGACAAACTCTTTAGTATCCAAACGATCAATATATGACCCGGTAGTTACAGCTTAAAAACACTGCTGTGTCTACTGTCCCATATGTGGATTTTACATTTTAATTTCACAAGGCATCGTGAAGTTTCAGTATTGTTGTCGCTAGAGACTGCATCTCTTAGCTTCATCAAAGAGTTCTGCTTAAAAGACTGATTTCTTCTATTAGTTATTGACTAGTCTGGGCTCTTGTATTACGAACCTCCATGACGTAATGAATAAAACCTTTCGTCCTGTCCAATTTCACATGAATTTAATGTTATTTTATTATCACATGTACTATATAGAACTTCTAAATTCATAAAAATTATATTTGGACTATATTTATATCTTCAGTTGAAACTTTTTGTATTTTTTGAAAATTTCTACAGATTTTACCGAAAATAATCCCCTAAAATCATCCATATTTGGAGTGTTGGGACCCATACTCCATTCTGTCCGTACAGGGAAATAAATGTTTTTAGATTGCTTTTGTTTTATATTCAATCGCATTTTTTCTTTCTTTTAAATAAATATTATGTGAAACATTTCTGACAGTCAGTATAGGAGAACGAAGACACAATAAGCAAATCTTGGAACACTCTATGAGTGTGTGGCAAGAACGTAGTTGAGTTTGTTAATTCCATTCTAATTCTTTGACTTCAATTTCATTGTTCGACTGTTTAAGGCTGATACTAATCGCGATTTCGAGAATTTCGCTTTCAGGAAAGAGGAAGTAGTGAATCTTAACATGTTTAGGTTATAGAACTGATTCCTCTTTTAGGGTAAGAAAGGCATCGATCCATATCCACCCTTTGGATATAAATTCTGTTATCTGAACGGTTGTTTTGCATTCCTTAGATCTTTTGAAAAACAAAATATATTCTTTAAAAAATTACTGAATTTTCGCTTTGAAACTCTACGTATCTGAATTAAAAGTTAAAGGTTAATTCATCAGTAAATTTTGATAAAACCAAAACCCACTTTGTTATATTTTTATAAGATAATCTACTTCTCTTGTCTTATCGGATATAGTGAACCACTGGATAAAACAAACCAAATTTCTGATTCTTTAAAGTTCGTATAGTCGGTTCGACTTCCTCTTTTAAAAACTTTGTGCACTCTTATAGAAACGAGTCCGCTTTATATCCAGACACTGTTGTCGCAAATAGGATGGGATGTTGCGAGAGAAAAGCAGCACCAGGTACCAGAAATCTCAGCTTTTTAAAGTACCTGAAAACTATCACAGCTCCTACTCCAAAGGACAAGATTTAGAACTTCTTCAAAATCGCAAAGGCACAGTTACTTTTTAAATAATTTTATTAGTTAATGACATCACAAAACATACTAAGCTTACTAATTCAGAAGTCAAACAACAAAAATCAGCGTTATATTTTCAAATTTTCACAGGACTAGTTTCGATGATTTTACCGAACCACCATTCTCAGCTGCCTTTTTTGCAGCTACTACTTTCATAGTGTTACGGATTTGGTATTTAAATAGCTCATGTTAGTTGAATTATAAATTAAATTGTTTATCCCCGTGAAGTGCAGCGCGTGACAAAGGAAAGCTAAGCCGGAAAATTAAAAATACAAGAACACGTGCATTTAACATTTAATATGATATATAAATAAATATCTGTTTTTAATTTCGAGAAAGTTCCAGAAAATTTTCGCGCGCGATTTAAAATCTTATAAAAAGGAGGAAAACCTCTCAATTGGGTGATTTTAGTTAGTTTGTTGTTGTTTTAAGAGTTTGTTTAGAAAACTGCTCTTGTTGACTAAAGAAAGCGAGTTCGCCGATTAGCTTTCTTTAGCTGTTTTGAATTAAGTTCTCTTGAACGTTTGAGTAGGTAAAAGATAACTACTGTGAGATATTCTAATACTGAACGAATATCTGAGAAAATTTAAGCATTTTTGTTGTGATAATAATAAATTTTGTTCATTTTTCATCGGACTTGTGCATTCATTTCATAACGAACCCGTACGCACGCAACAATATTTACGTTACATATGGAAGTGAACATGAACACTTTCTTGCAGCCAGCTCTTCCGCTGAGCGTTAAACCCAGGTCGAACTACCAATGTTCAATGACTTTACTGCTCGGCACAAGATAAAAATAAACATTATGGACCTTGACCTACCATCAGCTGAGAAGTTTAAAAACTACAAATAAAAGAATTTGGTTCAAGATCAGCAAGCATCCTTGATTTGTCGCTAGGGGTCAAACACAAAAGGGAAAAAAAAATACTATTATATTTTATTACATATCACCTGCCTGAGCAATAAAAGCAATACGACGAAACGTCAAATTATCAAAACTAGAGCATTTTATGGATGTTCCTTTAGGAAGATATTTATGAAATTTGGCAATGAATATTTCCTTGAGAAAGTTATGAGTTGCACTATCACCCGCTTCAAAGATACTTTAAAATAGAAGATTTTGAAAGGAAAAGCGGCTTTCAGGAGCTATTTATCCTTTCTTCTGTGTGAGACTATTTCTTGTTAATTAATTTTGCTTCTGTGTATGAGTCTTATAAACACAAGTTTTCTTTCCTTTGTTTATCTCCACTGAATCATTGGTATATTGCCATCAGTGTATTACTGGTATATTTCCATCAGTGTATTGTTGGTATATTTGTGTATAAGTAATTTCGAAAATTGTTTTTCAAAGGAAGTCTCTGAACTCTATCAATCATATGGTGTTATCTGCTTTGCGACACGTTTGGAATTAAAAACTAAATTTTGTTTCTCATTTATTCCACCCGCATTTTCCAAACGCTGTGAAAGACCAATGTTTTGTCTCTAATCTTGATGGTTAATCATGTATTTATTAGTTGTTAGGAGTGTCTGCATTGCGGAGGTACATTCAACTATGCTTTCTATGCGCTTTTGCTTTTCTTTTACTTTTCCTGTTTTCAAATGTTTTTCCGAACAATCGGATATTTGCTGGAAAACATTAGAAAGGAATAAGCTGAATCTATCTTTCATTTAACCTTCTTATCATCTATAAAATTGCCAATATAAACCACAGGGAGTACAGGCAGAAGTGGGCGTGACACCAAAATTTTACCATTGGTTGTACAGTGTCATTGCACTAATTGTGCAGCTCTGCACAGTTTTGATGGAAAACAACTCGATGAACAGGCCGAGGGTTTCCCATCTATCTTCCCCTACCAGAAGTCCACTTGAGAGGACCTCAGTCTCTCCGATATTTGAAGTGCCCCCATGCAGTACAGATACTATATATTTGCGAACCTTCATGCATTCTTCGGTATTCGAAACTGGACTCATTGACATCACAGCGGTAGAGCGTTATTGCACAGGCGTGGAAGGGGGAGACACAAGTATACAACCAAGCCTTATCCAGGGGCAGAAAACCCCTCTCTTGGTTTTACACTAACTGACAATCTTCGTTAACCGATGCAATATTCAGGTCGGTTTGATATATTTTTATCGAAAAGAAAGAATTTGATAGAAATTACCTCTGTCGTTTTTAGCCATATTACTGATGTTATCTAATGAAACATTATAAGATATTTAACTGATTATGCTGAAAACTAATCGCTTTCCCCAAAAGATCCTAATTATCGCATGAGTTGTTGACGTACAGTTTTTTAGAGCAGATATATTTCCGACAGACGGTTTTTTTTTGTGTACGCAAAACATAAAAAAGCACTGCAGAACACTCACAGGTCAAATACCAGATTGATTAGAGTATAATAGTGCGACCTATTTCAATGAATCTTAGTGCCTTCCCCCCAATCTTCTTTCCAACCGTTGCTGATTGCAAATGCGGCATTGAACTTAATGTTCCCAAGCCCCCTAAAGCCCCCGGTGCGAAATGTTCCCACGCTCTGAGATTGAAGTAACTAATAACGAAGCTATATTTTTCGAAAAAGGAAAACAAGATCATAAAAATAGAACGCGAGGATAGTGAGAGATAAGAAGTCCAAAAACGTTAAAATTTTTATTTGTTGTTCAACAGTACCCAGCACCCAGAAGGGACCAGCTTATTTATAAAAGAGCGCTCGCTCTTCCAGCTACTAGGACGCAGCCTATCAACGACCTTCGACCATTCTCCTCCAACGTCAGCATACTCCTTCGATTTCTCATAATGTTCAAGGTAAGTCGAAGACAGTTTAAGCTTTATTGGTAAGATTCTATCCTAAGTATTTCTGCATAGCAACAGGTAAGTACAGAAAAGTATTTCAATATTTTTCTTCTTTTGAGTGAAAATTTAAAATGATATTTTGTAGAAAAGTATTAATTCTATGCAACAGGAAGTGGATATTAAAAAAATAATTCAGTTTTCCCTCAAATGTTTCAATATTCAACCAAAAGGTAATCATTTTCCACAACAACAGATCTTTCGAAGCCTCTTTTGTTTTGCTTCAAAATTGGAATTTTGGTTTAAAAAGGCGATTATTACATTGAAATGCGCATTTTGTTACCTTGATTGAATTATTACTAGACTATTAGGTTTGATTTCCTCTAGCGGTTACAACTAGTTTAAATGACTTTTTTGTAAAATTGTTTATTAAAGCTCTATAATACTTTAAAAATAGGAGTGTATTGTGCATATCTTAATAGACAACCATATCATCATCACTGAAACAAATCAACGAATTTCGTAATTTTTGACGCTTTTACCTAAATGTATTCGTTTGGTTTATTTTCTGATATTGTATACTATGCCAAAAGAGAAAGAGAAAAGCAAAGAAATTATTATGAGTAAATTATTATTTTGTTTTCTTTTAAAGTGTCATGCATTTAAACGGAATTTTTAGGAATGTTATCGAAACAACGATTTCGCAGGCTTGGACAGATGCTGCTGATCTATTTTCATGAAACTTAAATACTTTCTTACTTTTTACGTTGTTGTTTTTTTCTTTTTTGCTATCCCTTACCCATTAAATTTAATCACGAAATTTTTACAGATTGCATTATAAATTTACAGTTTAATAAAAAAAATATACATGGATTTTAAGAAGTTGAAAATAAATGATTCATCAAATTTTGTATAGCATTTATTTTCAATTGATTGTTATTGGATAAAAAAAGCTAGCTGTGCTTATAAAAATTATTCCAAAATATACATACAGTTGAGAACAATACTGTAAACATAAAGCTAAGTAGAAGAATGATTTAAATTGAAGTACAAAGTATTTACAAAATAGCCAAAATTTCTTTAAAATATTTAATGCATCAAAAGTGAAATTAAAGATTTACTTTTGGTTACGTATTTGAGAAGAAATTAGGAATGCTAAGCATTAAAAATGCTTTCTTTCACCAGAGTTTTACTGTAAATTCTTTTTCTTTTAATTTGCTTTAATACAGAAAAATTTATATATTGATACAACCAGCAAAAATTAGTATTTTTTTAAGAAAAATATGAAAATTTGAAGTTGATGTTCTGGTAATATTTTAATAAATTTTTCACGGCGGTATGGATAATATTATATCCTCATTCAACTGAAATTAAAATTGGCAATTTGTTAAATTGTTATAATGCTCAAAATTGCCATACAGATGAACAAGTCTTAAAGTTTTATACGTGGCAGAAGACTTGAAATTTTATAACTGCTCTTTTGAATGAGTCCTCATCAGGATAAAACTTCGTTTACTATTAATCGCTTTGCGATCGGAATATTGCAGCTTTGTAAAGCATAAATTTAGAATTGCTTCATTTAAAGTTAAATAATTTTTCAAAGAATCGATGACGTTACAAAGTGTTTTCAATTGAGTTATTTCGCATTAATAAGCTAATAAAAGATTCCCAACAAAATGTAGGAATTATTTTGATTATATTTAAATAATGCATGTTTGAAGTTCGAAATAGGCTTCCATGAGATGTAATAATTTTGCGTAAGGCTGATGTGTTTAAAAGATACCTAAATTTAATCTTACACATAAATATCTTTAAAATTACCGATCCGTGTAATGGAAACTCGAATAGTAATATATGAAATGCATATATCATGCTTCAACCTGTATTTTAATATACATAGATTATTTTGGTAACAGACATATTATTAGAGTTTAAGCTTTATTTTAAGTTTATGAACATTCTAATGTTTCCAAAGAGGAAACAAATATTTCAGCAGCTTCGTTCAAAACAAATATTTCAGCAGCAAGCTTTCAGCAGCAGTTTATTTAAACTTGTATGAATTGTAATTATTTTGTTAGCAAATTTTTGAAAGCTCTAAAATTCTATTCGTCTTATGTTAAAACTAATATTGCATTTCTCGAATATACTTCAATTTTTCAGTGTTTATTTAATTAACAGATAATAGCTTTAGATAATTTAGCCTTTCATTTCAGAAGGATGATATCTTATCTTACAATTCACTTGCTCTAAAATTCACTCACTAGTTAATTTAAACAAATAACTATTTATTCTTTCATGTTGTAATACTCATTTATATTTGCTCATAAGCTCTATAAAATGCAGCATTTTTCGACTAAGAGGTAACGAAGAAAGATGCAATGATCTTATATTTAACAGCTGAGCACAGTTTTAAATTATTATTCTTGAAAGCATACTTAAAAATAGGGGAAAGCTTGTATAGTTAACACTTTTATGTTTTACAGACAAAAAAAAAAAAAAAAAAAAAAAAAACTAGAAAATTAGATTTAATATTTCCACTCATATATTTTGGAGAAATTGCATAATTTTCTGAACGTAATATTTAAAGTCTAGAAAGACGGAATAATTCAGACATATTGAAAATTAATTTCTCGTCAATAAGTATTTATATTTTTGTTCTCTAGTATTTTAATAACACTTATAATAACTTTTGATATCTACTAAATGAAACGCTTAAGGTTTAAACGAAACGGTAGGAGGTATTTAAGCAACTACATTAATAAAATCTGGTCAGTATTGATTTAAGAATACAATAAAATCTCTATAGTTTACAGTTATACGTTTCACAGGCAAGTAACAATAACCTAAATTATAGATCGCAAATTAGCGTAGATTATATTGAAAGAATAAGTAAAGTGTTTATAACCCACTTTAATTCTTATTTTAATTCAACAACTTATATATAGCAGTAACAGAACAATTATAAACATCACCATCAATCATCCTTGAAATATATTTACTTCAAGCAGTACCATTTAAAAAGCATTTTCGCCGAATTTTTTATATAAAAAATCATGTGAAAACAATGAGTAACACAAACTAAAATATAATTCGATCTGATCACTTATATTTAACCTCTTTTAAATATAAATGAGTATAAATAGGTTAAAAGGTTATGCAGAGATTTTTGTTTTCTTCGAATTTTTTATATGAAAATTCATTTGAAAACAATGAGTAACACGAATTAAAGTATAATTCGATCTGATCACTTATATTTAACCTCTTTTAAATGTAAGTGAGTATAAATAGGTTAAAAGGTTATGCAAAGATTTTTGTTTTCTTTCTAAATTTTTACCTTTTCTTTAGTCCAAAATGGACATCAGTCCCGAAGGGGTAATAGCTTTGAAATGGCATTTTGCGTCGAAATATTTAAATCGGTTGTATCACTCTTCAAAATCTTGCGACCAAATATTATCGTCCTGTATTATATTTAAAGAAATTATATAATGAAGAATCTGAGTGAATGTATGCATGTTTCTCGCATTGTGAAAAAAACGACTGTACTAAAGACATCAAATTTTGAATAACGTACTCCTCCACCTGAACTTGGGCACCTAGAAGACGGAACTTTTAATTTCAAATTTGTTTCATTATCCATTTTGCAAATTGTAAAACTTTAACGAATTTCTTATTAAGAAACTGAAGGATTTTAAAGCGAGCAGTAGCAACTCTGTTACGGAGAAAAGCATTTTTATCTCCAGCGTGCGAGACTGTCTATTGCAAATTTTAAAGATATGCTGCTGAATTAAATTTTATATGACGCAAGCGCCAAGAATAAGATATTAAATTTAAAAAAAAGTAAACGCAAAAAACGTCAATTAAAAAAAAAAGTTCTGCAAAATCTTCTTAGTCAGAAAACTGAACATTGATATGATGAACTGAGAAAAGACTGGAAAAAATGAAGCGTATGCCAATACTATGCTGCATCGGGAATTCTAAACGTATACTGCTACGCTGCTTTTAAAATTTTTGCAATTTTGCTGTTGAATTGTATGTGGCGTAGATGCAAATAAAATTATGCTTAATGATAAAGCTAAAAGGACACAAAAATGGGTTAGTAGGTGTAAGTGTAGCAGCAGACTGGTAGATTGCTAGCTCAGCGAGATCGTAAGAAACTTAACAAAGCCTTTTGGGCGACCGTTAAAATCTGAAACCATTCAGAATATTTTTTTTTTCTTTTTGATTTGTTAAATTAAACGTTTTGTTTGTTTCTCTTGTTTCTTAAACAAAAGTTTTAAGGAACAAGCATTAAAATAAAATAAGTATGGTATTATACGTATTTGAAAATAAAAATTCGGTAAATTACATTTTTCTCAGAAAAGATGATGAAAAGTAATCTAGAAAAATCTACAGTAAAAGTTTTATTTTATATTAAAACTAAGGTAATTTGAAAATAATAAAGCTACCGTTGTAGAAATGTATGAGTATATATCAACTTCAGTCACCTGGTTTTCTTTAAGTATTAGAAACTTATTTCTTTTACAAAAAATAAAAATATATGTACTTTAATTTCTAAACGTTAATAAAAATAATCACCATAACTCCTTGGAATAAAAATAGTGCTATCCCTCGCAATCATTTTTATTTTTGGTAGTACGAAAAGCAAGCGCAATTAAATATTCTGCTAACTTATTAGTGTTAAATCTTTATTTATAAACGTTAAGTTCTTATTTATGAAAGTTAAGTCTTTATTTATGAACACTAAGTTAATTTTTGTGTAAAATGTAATGGTTCTGTTCCAGAATTGCAATTAATACTAAACTTCGATTATCAAATCTTGAGAAAGAGTTGAATAAAGTTTTGTAATTAGTTTGCTGAGAACTGAAGGAGCAATAGTTAAGTTTCTAAATTTTCTCGCTTAATGTATTTTAATTTAAAAACAAGCAGGCTACGGCCAAAGCAATATTTATAAGTTCTAATCACAGAAAAATGGAAAATAAAATGAGCTATTAATTTAACGTACTGTGTACAAAATT